CTATCCATTCACTAGAGAGCGGTGACATCACCGAGAATGCAGCCTATCCATTCACTAGAGAGCGGTGACATCACCGAGAATGCAGCCTATCCATTCACTAGAGTGCGGTGACATCACCGAGAATGCAGCCTATCCATTCACTAGAGAGCGATGACATCACCGAGAATGCAGCCTATCCATTCACTAGGGAGCGGTGACATCACCGAGAATGCAGCCTATCCATTCACTAGAGAGCGATGACATCACTGAGAATGCAGCCTATTCATTCACTAGAGAGCGATGACATCACTGAGAATGCGGCCTATCCATTCACTAGAGAGCGGTGGACATCACTGAAAATGCAGCCTATCCATTCACTAGAGAGCGATGAAATCACTGAGAATGCAGCCTATCCATTCACTAGAGAGCGATAACATCACTGAGAATGCAGCCTATCCATTCACTAGAGAGTGGTGACATCACTGGGAATGCAGCCTATCCATTCACTAGAGAGCGGTGACATCACTGGGAATGCAGCCTATCCATTCAAGTATTTCTTTACAAACATTGTAAAAGGATTCTCCCACACATCCAGGGGTGGACTGACCATTTGGAAACTCGGGCACTGCCTGAGGGCCCAGGGTCAGTAGGGGACCCCATGAGATGCCTCTGGTACCTTTTTCATAGGTTTTTTTGAGTATGGGCAAGGACACAGGGGCACCATTATACCCTATTGCCTGGGGGCCCCATGAGTTGTCAGTCCACCCCTGCACACATCCATTCACAATGTCACTGGTTCCTGGGCCTAGAACTCCTCCGCTGTACATATGGAGTCGTGGATTTGGTGTCAGTCGCAGTTTTGTGATTGATATTTGGAAATTCTGAGCTGAAAGCTGTTCCGGGGTTCTGCTCTGTGCGCCCTGCAGCTGCCTTCCATCTGTTTACAAATGACCATTTCTGAGCTGACAAACCTTTTTGCATAATCCAGTTTTACCCAACACATTGAAATACACAGGAAGTATACAGTGTTCTTCTCAGAAAGACAGAAATATAATGTCATGATCGTCAGTAGTGCGTGTAAGAAGAAGTCTCATGGGAGGTTCATTGTATAGTAGAGGATGAGACAACAAGAATGGGCATAGTACGGTAACCCACATCAGTGATAGGAGATTACTGAATGGATTACTGCACTTTACATATTGTTTTTTACTTTACTATAGTCATAATTGAGAGCAATGCCTAAAGAATCCTAAACCGATCTGATCTGTGATAGAGGCCTAAAGAATCCCAAACCGATCTGATCTGTGATAGAGGCCTAAAGAATTCTAAACCGATCTGTGATAGAGGCCTAAAGAATCCCAAACCGATCTGTGATAGAGGCCTAAAGAATCCTAAATTGGCCTGTGGTAGAGGCCTAAAGAATCTTAAACCGGCCTGCGGTAGAGGCCTAAAGAATCCTAAACCATCCTGTGGTAGAGGCCTAAAGAATCTTAAAACCAGCCTGTGATAGAGGCCCTAAATTGGCCTGCGGTAAGGCCTAAACCGGCCTGTAATAGAGGCCTAAAGAATCATAAACCGGCCTGTGGTAGAGGCCTAAAGAATCTTAAACCGGCCTGCAGTAGAGGCCTAAAAAGTCCTAAACCAGCCTGTGTTAGAAGGCCTAAAGAATCCTAAAGGCCTGTATCCTAAAAACCTAAATTGGCCCAATACCAGGGAAGAGGCCTAAAGAATCCTAAACTGGCCTGTGGTTGAGAGGCCTAAAGAATCCCCCAACTGGCTGTGGTAGAGGCCTAAAGAATCCTAAACCGGCCTGTGGTAGAGGCCTAAAGAATCCTAAACCATCCTGTGATAGAGGCCCAAAGAATCCTAAACCGGCCTGTGATAGAGGGCCTAAAGAATCCCAAACCGATCCTGTGATAGAGGCCTAAAGAATCCTAAACCGATCTGTGATAGAGGCCAAAAGAATCCTAAACCGGCCTGTGATAGAGGCCTAAAGAATCCTAAACCGATCTGTGATAGAGGCCCATAAAGAATCCTAAACCCTGTGGTTGGAGGCCTAATCTGTGATAGAGGCCTAAAGAATCCTAAACCGAATCTGTGATAGAGGCCTAAAGAATCCTAAACCAGCCTGTATAGAGGCCTAAAGAATCCTAAACCATCCTGTGGTAGAGGCCTAAAGAATCCTAAACCATCCTGTGGTAGAGGCCTAAAGAATCCTAAACCGGCCTGTGATAGAGGCCTAAAGAATCCCAAACCGATCCTGTGATAAGGCCTCGGCCTCTGTGATAGATGCCTAAAGACTCAAAAACCGGCTGTGATAGAGGCCTAAAGAATCCTAAACCTAAAGGCCTAAACCATCCTGTGGTAGAGGCCTAAAAATCCTAAACCAGCCTGTGGTAGAGGCCTAAAAGAATCCTAAACCAGTCTGTGTAGAAGCCAATAAAGAGTCCTAAACTGGCCTGTGGAAGAGGTCCTAAAGAATCCCCAACTGGTCTGTGGTAGAGGCTTAAAGAAGCCTAAATCAGCCTGTGGTAGAGTCCTAAAGAGCCCCCAACTGGCCTGAGGTAGAGTCCTAAAGAGTGCAAAACCGGCCTGTAGAGGAGGCCTAAAGAGTCCTAAACCGGCCTGTGGTAGAGGCCTAAAGAACCTCAAACTGGCCTCAGGTAGATGCCTAAAGAGTCCTAAAATGGCCTGTGGTAGAGGCCTAAAAAGTCCTAAACTGGCCTGTGATAGAGTCCTAAAGAATCCTAAACTGGCCTGTGGTAGATGCCTAAAGAATCCTAAACCGGCCTGTGATAGAGTCCTAAAGAATCCTAAAGCAGCCTGTGGTAGAGGCCTAAAGAATCCTAAACTGGCCTCAAGTAGAGGCCTAAAGAGTCCTAAAACCGGCCTGTGGTAGAGGCCTAAAGAGACCTAAAGCAGCCTGTAGAAGAGGCCTAAAGAGTCCTAAACTGGCCTGTGGTGGAGGCCTAAAGAGTCCTAAACTGGCCTGTGGTGGAGGCCTAAAGAGTCCTAAACTGGCCTGTGGTGGAGGCCTAAAGAGTGCCAAACTGGCCTGTAGTAGCAACCTAAAGAGTCCTAAGCCGGACCGTGGTAGAGGTCTAAAGAGTTCCTAAACTGGCCTGTGATAGAGGCTAAAAGAGTCCCCAACTGGCCTGTGATAGAGGCTTAAAGAGTCCCCAACTGGCCTGTGATAGAGGGTAAAAGAATCCCCAACTGGTCTCAGGCCTAAAGGGTCCTAAACTTGCCTGTGTAAGAGGCGCAAAAACCAAAGAGGAATCCACTCATCTCAGCCAACATAATCTGCACCGGTCTGTGGCTAAGCTCCAAAGATTCTTAGAGCTGTCCAGGAACAGAAGCCTGAGTGGCTGAGCATACAGATTCCTGTAAGTCTACGGAGCAATGGATTGTTGTTGTTTTTGGGTGTCCTGTACGTCGGACTTCATCAACTGAGCCAACATATTTTCCAAGGAAGACTGAAGGCATTAAAGTCTGTTTGATTGGGTTGGTCCGGGTGTAGGTCCCAGGGCAAGTCATGGTCAGGAAAGCCAGTAGAGCCCCTTACGTTTAGCAGCTCATTGTGAAAACGTCCCTCCACATCTCACAGTCACATCCGCTCACCCCGGGATACAGTCAGTGACACACAGCAGTAATAATCTGCATTTGTTCAAAAGATCGATATCACTCATAGCTTTCTGTAACGAACAACTGTCAGCCGAGATCAACGAAACAGATCGTGAATCTGATCCAACACAAAAGAGAACAATCTCAAGAGTGAAGAGACCAAAGTGAGACAATAAAGAATCCTAAACCAGCCTGTGGTAGAGGCCTAAAGAATCCTAAACTGGCCTCAGGTAGAGGCCTAAAGAGACCTAAAGCAGCCTGTAGAAGAGGCCTAAAGAGTCCTAAACTGGCCTGTGGTGGAGGCCTAAAGAGTCCTAAACTGGCCTGTGGTAGAGGCCTAAAGAGTCCCAAACTGGCCTGTGGTAGCAACCTGAAGAGCCCTAAACCGGACTGTGGTAGAGGTCTAAAGAGTTCCTAAACTGGCCTGTGATAGAGGCTAAAAGAATCCCCAACTGGCCTGTGATAGAGGGTAAAAGAATCCCCAACTGGTCTCAGGCAGAGTCCTAAAGGGTACTAAACTTGCCTGTAGAAGAGGCGCAAAAACCAAAGAGGAATCCACTCATCTCAGCCAACATAATCTGCACCGGTCTGTGGCTAAGCTCCGAAGATTCTTAGAGCTGTCCAGGAACAGAAGCCTGAGTGGCTGAGCATACAGATTCCTGTAAGTCTACGGAGCAATGGATTGTTGTTGTTGTTGTTTTGGGTGTCCTGTACGTCGGACTTCATCAACTGAGCCAACATATTTTCCAAGGAAGACTGAAGGCATTAAAGTCTGTTTGATTGGGTTGGTCCGGGTGTAGGTCCCAGGGCAAGTCATGGTCAGGAAAGCCAGGAGAGCCCCTTACGTTTAGCAGCTCATTGTGAAAACGTCCCTCCACATCTCACCGTCACATCCGCTCACCCCGGGATACAGTCAGTGACGCACAGCAGTAATAATCTGCATTTGTTCAAAAGATCGATATCACTCATAGCTTTCTGTAACGAACAACTGTCAGCCGAGATCAACGAAACAGATCGTGATCTGATCCAACACAAAAGAGAACCATCTCAAGTGTGAAGAGACCAAAGTGAGACAATAAGGCCCCATGTACAGGGGACACTTCTGAATGATGGAAACTGACCGCTGGAAAATGTAGGTTAAAAAACGTCTGTTTAGCTGCATTTGCAATAAGCGTTTATGCGTGTTTAGGTGCGTTTGCGTTTAGAAGTGTTTTTTAACCACCTCCCGCCTGCCATATAGTAATATGACAGACACAAGGTGGTTCTCTCATTCTGGGAGGATGTCATATGACGTCCTCCCATTCTCACCGCGCATGCGTGGCTCAGGGAGCATGCAGCGCGGCAATCGGTGGTGCGCTCTGTCCCTCGGACACAGCGGATCACCAATCATGGAAAGAGCCGAATATGTCGGCTCGGTCATGTGATCAGCTGTATCCAATCACAGCTGATCACATGTAAACAGGCAAATGCCGGTTATCTGCATTTATCTCCTCTCGAGCTGTCACGCTGACAGGAGAGGAGAGAGAGACGGTAATCGACATTCTGCGGAGGGGACATGTACATTGATCATCAGGGCACTGATGATCAGTGTGCCCTGATGATCAGTGTAGCCCCAGCAGTGCCACCTACCAGTGCACATCAATGCCACATATCAGTGCTATCTGAGCTGCCTTTCAGTGCCACCCATCAGTGCCAGTCAGTGCCACCTATCAATGCCAATCAGTGCCACCTATCAGTGCTGCCAATCCGTGCCACCTATCATTGCCAGTCAGTGCTGCCTATCAGTGCTGCCTATCAGTGCGCATCAGTGCTGCCTATCGATGCCTGTCAGTGCCACCTAACAGTGCCAGTCAGTGCCGCCTATCAGTGCCATGTATCAGTGCTGCCTTCCAGTGCCTATCGGTGATGCCTGTCAATGCCCATCAGTGCCACCTACCAGTGCCTCCTCGTCAGTGTCCATCAGTGCAGCCTATCAGTGCCCATCACTGAAGCCTCATTAGCGCACATCAGTGAAGGAGAAAAATCACTTATTTACAAAATTTTATAACAAAAACTAAGAAAAAAAACGTTTCTTTTTCAAAATTTTCAGTGGTTTTTGGTTTGTTTAAGAAAAAATAAAAAACCCCGAGGTGATTAAATACCACCAAAATAAAGCTCTATCTGTCACAAAAAAATGATAAAAATGTCATATGGGTACAGTGTTGCATGACCGTGCAATTGTCATTCAAAGTGCGACAGTGCTGAAAGCTGAAAATTGGCCTGGGCAGGAAGGGGGTAGAAGTGTCCTGTAGGCGAGGGGTTAAAGATAAGCACAGGAGAACCTCCCAAATGCCCAGAATGCATTGAAAAGTGGTAAATTATTAACTATTTCAGACTATTTCCTAGAAATACAGAGAGTAGAAGCAGAGACAGCAGTGTGTGTTGAGATTAGGTTAGGTGTGAGTTGCTCATTAACATTTCTTTTGTTTCCAAGGGTGGAAAAAGGTGTCTGGTGGAGGGAGTCATTAAGGTCACCTGGCAGGGGGTCTTCATGAGGAATTTTAGGTGTGAATGGTCATTAACATATCTTTTGTTTCCAAGGGAGAGAGGTCTGAGGTGGTGAAACATGGTCAAGGGTTAACATATCTTTTTGTTTCCAAGGGTGGGAAAGGTATCTGGTGGAGGGAGTCATTAAGGCCACCGGCAGGGGTTCTTCATGAGGAATTTGAGGTGTGAATGTCCAATAAACATATCTTTTGTTTCCAAGGGTGGGAGAGGTCTGAGGTGTGAATGGTCATTGACATATCTTTTGTTTCCAAGGGCGGGAGAGGTCTGAGGTGTGAATGGTCATTGACATATCTTTTGTTTCCAAGGGTGGGAGAGGTCTGAGGTGTGAATGGTCATTGACATATCTTTTGTTTCCAAGGGCGGGAGAGGTCTGAGGTGTGAATGGTCATTGACATATCTTTTGTTTCCAAGGGTGGGAGAGGTCTGAGGTGTGAATTGCTCATTAACATATCTTTTGTTTCCAAGGGTGGGAAAGGTGTCTGGTGGAGGGAGTCATTAAGGCCACCTGGCAGGGGGTCTTCATGAGGAATTTAAGGTGTGAATGGTCATTGACATATCTTTTGTTTCCAAGGGGGGGAGAGGTCTGATGTGTGAATCGGTCATTACAATGTGTGGCAAGCTTGGTATGAACATCCTGTGTTCAGTGTTTTGTCCATCTGAGTACCTTGAAAACGCTTTGCATGCATTTTTCATGATGAAAAAAGGCTCTGGACAGAATCGGGAACTGGAAGAGTTAAAAAACATTTTCAGCCGCAAACTCTTATAAACACGATTTGCCTCGTCTACAAGCATTTTGCGTCTGAAACGCTGATAAAATCGACTGCTGAACTCAAGTTTTCTGCGTTCAAAAAAATGACTGTAAACTCAAATGCCTGTAAACGACTATAAACGACGATGTGTACACGGACACAGAGGAGAACATTAGGGGGAGTTCAGGGGCTGCTGAAAAAAACACTGAACAGCTCCTAAACGTGAGTTTATCAGCCGCAGTGTACATGAACCCTTAAGCTAGATCGATGAATCTCCCAATCCCAGATGCGTCAGTCTTGAGGAGTTAAAAAAAGAAATCTGGAATATTTTTCTTTTTTTTAGGCACCTACACTCATAAGGAACCATTTGCAGCTCTTTATGGTTAGATTGAGGGATGTAAAACTTTATGGCCAAAGATTGTGGACATCCTTCACCAAACCATATCTAATATATGGAGTTTCTCCCCTTTTATGGTGATCCAAGTGTAGGTGGGATGGTGCTAGATACGGATCCTCAACCAATAATAAAAGAGGTACTTAACTGAACCAAATGGCTTGAGTTCGGCAGCTCTCTGCAATATGGGACCCCCCCCCAAGGGCAATGGACACCCAAAATAAAAAGTCATTGTATGGTTTAGCCAGAGGAAGCGCCAAACCAACGTTCTAAGAGTCCAAATGAATTTTATGGGTTCTGTCAGGCAAACAGGAAAAACAAAAGGCGTGCAATGTGTTTCGTGGACCAAACGACAATCCCCCATCATCAGGGCTTTATTAAAGTCAGAAAAATTGTAAAAGCCAGCAGGCTAGTACGTGTGTGCATAAGCATGCAAATGTTGGGGCATAGACGTCTACGCTCACGTGTATCATTACGAGCATCATGCATGTACATGTAGCGCCCTCCAGTTTAGGGTAGGATATTTGATCCTTGCTAGGAGCCTGGGACGAGTCAGCCTGGAAGTGCGGCAGGCTGGGAGGCTCTACAGGTCAGGGCTTCTGGTGCCCTCCTACCCTCTAGAAAGCTCTAGCAATAAAGGAAGGGTTGAGGAGGGGAGGAGGCCTGGATTTGCAGGTTTGAAGGAACCTGGCCAATCCCCAGTCATGGTGGCTAGGACAGTCCTTAAATATGGGAGAGTCTGCACAGCAGAAATGAAGAAAGGTGCTGGTGTGCGGAGCCTGGGAGAGGGTCCCAGCGGAGGGGTTCCTACCTGCAGGTTGGAGCTGGACAGAAGGATCTCTACTGTCACACAGTCTACTAGGAAAGACAGCCAGTCAACGAGGAAAGGGCCAGCCCAACTTAAGGCCTGAAAGCAGCTGCAACCCATTAAGCTACAGGAACAGGGCAGTGTGAGTACTTCTACCTGAGGGTGGTCAGGTGCAACATCCAACTAGTTCTCCCTGGGACTACTTCATTGTAGACCTCAGAATCCCTTGCTCAGGGACACCCTCAGGACAGCCGGTGGATGAGGAGATTTTCATCTGGGGGTCTGAGGAGGTTCACCAAAGGGGATCCAGTGCTCCTAACAGAGGTTGGTTTTCTAATTTTTGTCCATTTTTGCTGAGAAGTTGGTCCTCAAAATTGTACAGTTCCCTGGACATCCCATGTACTCCTAGACCCCATCAAAGTTGTTAACCCCTAATAAAAACATTAAAACCAAGCTCAAGGAATGTTTTACTGACTTTGGATAAAAGTGCTGGAAACTGCGTGTTGCCTGGCCATGCAGAGCTTAGGGGGTGCCCAAAAACTCAGCGGCCCTCAAGAGGGTAGCACTACATACAGTCCATATACACATTCACTGCCACTAAGCGGCTATTTAACCGCCTCCCACCCACCATATAGTCCAATGAGGTGATTCTCTTGTTCTGGGAGGACGTCATATGGCGTAGGATCGGGGGATCGCAGGACAAGGTAAGGATCGGGGGATCGCAGGACAAGGGAAGGATCGGGGGATCGCAGGACAAGAGAAGGATCGGGGGATCGCAGGACAAGGGAGGGATCGGGGGAGCAGGACAAGGGGGGATCGGGGGATCGCAGGACAAGGGAGGGATCGGGGGATCGCAGGACAAGGGAGGGATCGGGGGATCACAGGACAAGTTAAGGATCGGGGGATCTCAGGACAAGGGAAGGATTGGGGGGATCGCAGGACAAGGTAGGGATCGGGGGATCTCAGGACAAGGGAAGGATCGGGGGATTGCAGGACAAGGGAAGGATCGGGGGATCAAAGGACAAGGGAAGGATCGGGATATCGCAGGACAAGGGAAGGATCGGGGGATCGCAGGACAAGGGAAGGATCAGGAGATCGCAGGACAAGGGAAGGATCGGGGGGATTGCAGGACAAGGGAAGGATCGGAGGACAAGGAAAGGATCGGGGGATCACAGGACAAGGGAAGGATTGGGGGATCGCAGGACAAGGGAAGGATCGGGGGATCGCAGGTCAAGGGAAGGATTGGGGGATCGCAGGACAAGGGAAGGATCGGAGGACAAGGGAAGGATCGGGGGATCGCAGGTCAAGGGAAGGATTGGGGGATCGCAGGACAAGGGAAGGATCAGGGGATCGCAGGACAAGTGAAGGATCGGGGGATCGCAGGACAAGTGAAGGATCGGGGGATCGCAGGATAAGGGAAGGATCGGGGATCGCAGGACAAGGGAAGGATCGGGGGATCACAGGACAAGGGAAGGATCGGGGGATCTCAGGACAAGGGAAGGATCGGGAGATCGCAGGACAAGGGAAGGATCGGGGGATCGCATGACAAGAGAAGGATCGGGGGATCGCAGGACAAGGGAAGGATCGGGGGATCGCGGGACAAGGGAAGGATCGGGGGATCGCAGGACAAGGGAAGGATCGGGGGATCGCAGGACAAGGTAGGGATCGGGGGATCGCAGGACAAGGTAGGGATCGGGGGATCGCAGGACAAGGGAAGGATCGGGGGATCGCAGGACAAGGGAAGGATCGGGGGATCACAGGACAAGGTAAGGATCGGGGGATCTCAGGACAAGGGAAGGATTGGGGGGGATCGCAGGACAAGGAAAGGATCGGGGGATCGCAGGACAAGGTAGGGATCGGGGGATCGCAGGACAAGGTAGGGATCGGCGGACAAGGGAAGGATCGGGGGATCGCAGGACAAGGTAAGGATCGGGGGATCGCAGATAAGGATCGCTATACAGCATCGCGGTGCATGTACTAAACCTGGAAAAAAATAATGAGCACACAAAGGAGATCCGATTCCCGGCAGTTGCCGAGCCTGTTCTGTGATTATTCCTCACTCCCTTAGATATCAGATTCCAGTAACAGCACACACCTTCCTATTACCAGCAGATCAGGACAAGCATGCTGCCAGCAGGTACAGCCAATGAATCAGATCCCATTTCTGCATTAATCTGGAGCAATGTGCACAGGAGGTGTGCGTTCACACACAGGCGCATGGCATGGGGCAAACACATTGAAAGTCCAACTCAAATATTGTCTAAGCCCATGGGCCACATCTGTTCTTCTTCAATCTCGGGCTTTGCGTATTTCTTCCAGATCTGAGCCGTCATCCAGCGTCAGACTTCCTGGAATAAAGACCACTCTCTCTCCTTGTGCAGGTGGACTGGTCTTGTTCACGCCCCCTTCCTGTAGTGGGTGGGCCCTTTGCTCTGTGCACAGGCTATGCACTGCACAGTGATGATGTCACTGCTACTAACACAAGGAAATTTCCTGGCGCCAACATGGCAGCATCCATGTGGGAAAATGCTTCCATGCAGGAAAGGAAAACAGCAGTAAGTCTTTGATACAATTTTTCATTTTCTGGGTTGGCATAGACGTTTAACGCACACAAAACTGGATTTATATCCTTTGCAGCTATTCAGGAATATGATTCAATGGATTTTTTTTGCCTGGAGTTCCCCTTTAAGTTCCCACCCCATGCCGCCCACTGCGGCGGTTAACAAAGTGCTACCCAACTCTGGATGGTCGCAGTATGGATCCGACTTTGGCTTTCATTAATGATAATGTACAACTGTTGCATATACAGGCGTACCTCGATTTACGAATTTAATGCGTTCTCTGGAACGTTTCGTATTGCGAAAAATTAGTAAACCGCGGTCTCCCATAGGAATGCATTGAAAACCAATTAATCCGTTCTGGAGGTCAGAGAAAAGTAAAAAAAAGTCTTTTATCTGTTCAAAACTCTTTATAAAGTGCACTTTAAAGGCATAAATACTGTACAGGGACATGATTAACCCCTCGCCCACCGGGCACTTCTACCCCCTTCCTGCCTACAGGGCACTTCTACCCCCTTCCTGCCTACAGGGCACTTCTACCCCCTTCCTGCCTACCGGGCACTTCTACCCCCTTCCTGCCTACCGGGCACTTCTACCCCACTTCTACCCCCTTCCTGCCTACAGGGCACTTCTTGCCCCCTTCCCCCCTGCCTACCGGGCACTTCTACCCCCTTCCTGCCTAGCGGGCACTTCTACCCCCCCCTTCCTGCCTACCGGGCACTTCTACCCCCTTCCTGCCCAGGCCAATTTCCAGCTTTCAGTGCCGTCGCACTTTGAATGACAATTGCGCGGTCATGTGACACTGTACCCATATGAAATTTTTATCATTTGTTTGAGACAGATAGAGCTTTTTTTTGGTGGTATTTAATCACCTCGGGGATTTTTATTTTTTGCTAAACAAACTAAAAACCACTGAAAATTTTGAAAATAAACCCCGTTTTTTCTTAGTTTTTGTTATTGTAAATAAGTGATTTTTCTCCTTCACTGATGTACGCTGAGGCTGCAGTGATGGACATTGATGGGCTGCACTGATAGGTGGCACTGATGGACACTGATGAGGAGACACTGGTAGGTAGACCTGATGGGCATTGACAGGCATCACTGATGGGCACTGAAAGGCAGCACTCATATATGGCACTGTTAGGCGACACTGATAGGCAGCACTGGCAGGCACTTATAGGCAGCACTGACAGGCACTTATAGGCAGCACTGACTGGCACTGTTAGGTGGCGAGTGCTCGGCGAGTGCAGACAGACCTGTGGGCGTTGTTTTTTTTTTTATTTTGCCAAGGTGGCGGCGGCGGCGGCGGTGTGACAATGCTGAGAAAAATCGGAACACTGATTGTGAGTCAGGTCTTTTTTCTCCAGCATCAGTGCCCAATGTCACAAATTCCCACAGACACCCTCCAAAATCTTGTGGAAAGCCTTTCCAGAAGAGTGGAGGCTGTTTTAACCACAAAGTGGTGGAGGGCAACTCCCTATTAATGCCCCTTTGTACACTATATGGTGAAGACCCTTTTCTTTTTCAACATGACTGTGTCCCCGTGCACAAAGCTAGCTCCATAAAGACATGGTTTGATGAGTTTGGTGCGAAGGAACTCAAGCGACCATCACAGAGCCCTGACCTTAACCCTACTGACCTCAACACCTTCGGGTTGACCCGGACTGTGAGCCAGGCCTTCTCATCCAACATCAGTACCTGACCTCACAGATGGACATACCAAAATCTTGTGGAAAGCTTTCCCAGGAGAGTGGAAGATGTTATATCTACAAAGGGGGACCAATACCATACTCCATTGGCCATGGTTTTGGAATGGAATATCCAGCAAATTCATTTAGGTATGATGGTCAGGTGTTCCGACCCTTTTCATCATATAGTATATGAACTCTACCTGGACAACTGCTCCTGGTGTAAAGATACTCATAAATGTGTGGTGACAAAAATATCATAACGTCTTATAGTACATGCACATTAACCTTTGCTATTTGGTTACAAAAAGATCATGCCTGTGTAGCAACTGCAGAAAAACAAACATAAATGCCAGATCTCTGGGTAGAAAGCTATGAGGCCAGATAGAAAATGTTCTCCCTAATACTGGTTCTCCAGAGAAAAGCTGACACTTGGGCAATCAGCAATGTGTGAAGCAGGGGCGGACTGACCATTTGGAAACTCGGGCACTGCACGAGGGCCCGCGGTCAGTAGGGGGCCCCATGAGATGCCCCTGGTACCTTTTTCATAAGCTTTTTTGAGTTTGGGCAAGGACACAGGGGCCCCATGATCCCCTATTGCCCAGGGGCCCCATGAGTTGTCAGTCCGCCACTGGTTAGGTGGCACTGATAGGCAGTACTGACGGGCACTGATAGGCGGCACTGATGCGCACCGATTGGCGGCACTGACTGGCACTGGTAGGCGGCACTGATAGGTGGCACTGACTGGCATTGATAGGTGGCACTGACTGGCACTGATAGGTGGCACTGAAAGGCAGCTCAGATGGGCATTGATATGTGGCATTGATGTGTACTGATGGGCACTGATATGTGACATTGATGTGGCACCGATAGGCACTGGCAGGTGGCATTGGTGAGCACTGACAGCTGGCACTGATGGACACTGACAGGTGGCACTGATGGGGCTACACTGGTCATCAAGGCACACTGATTATCACACTGATTGTACCTCATATCCCCTCTGAGGAATGCTGATTACCGGCTCTCCTCTCCTCTGTCAGAGTGACAGCTCGTGGGGAGAGAAATGCCGATAACCGACATTTCCATATTTACATGCGATCAGCTGTGATTGGACACAGTTGATCACATGTCTGAGCTGACGTCTTTGGCTCTTTCTGTTGATTGGTGATCTGCTGTGCCCCTCGGCACCACCGATCGCCGCGCTGCGCACTCCCGAGTCGGCCGTGCGCGGTTAGGGTGGGACTTCCTCCCAGAACGAGTGAACCGCCTTGCACCCGTCATTTCCTTATATGGCGGGTGGGAGGCGGTTAAAAAAAAAAAAAAAAAAAAAAAAATAAATACGTTCGTGTTGTGAAAAAATTTCGTAAACCGAGGCGTTATTTTCAATGGATTTTCATTCGTAAACCGAAAATTCCGATAACCGAGGCGTTTGTAAACCGAGGTGCGCCTGTACAACATTCAGGTGTAACTTTCATACGGCTTTTGAGGGTTTTCATTGCAGTCTATGGCACTCAAGTTGCATGAGAGTCGTACCAAAGCAGTGCAGGAACTACTCTGAAGTCGCTGCGACTTGAAGTTGCACAGATATGAATGGTACCCATTGGGAAACATGGGGGAAGGGTGACTTTTCAAGCAACTTTGGACCACAAAATCGCATGAAATGGTCGCACAAGTGTGAATGGATTCTTGCTGTCCTAGGAAGTTTGATCAAATCTGGTCAAGTTGGGTAGATGCCGAGGGTATACTAAACTAACTCCCTTGGTATGTAAAGCGGAGTTCCACCCAAAAGTGGAAGCTCTGCTTATTTGCCGCCTCCCCCCCGCTGTCACATTTGGATCTTTTTTGGGGGGGCGGGAACCTGGTTTTGAAAGGGACCCGCTCCCGCTTCTGGCTCAGTTTGCCATGGCGAACTGAGCCGGAAGTCCATACGCCCCAACCTGCAGCCTTCTGGGACACTTTATAGATCCCAGAGGACTGCGCCCCACAGCGCTTCATGCATGGGCAGTAGGAAACCAGCTGTGAAGCTGCAAGGCTTCACTGCTGATTTCTTTCCCTTAGCCAAGATGGCGGCACCAGCACCCGACAGCTGATTGAAGGATCAGCTCGGGGTGGGGACACTGCTGGACAGGGGCGTCCCTAGGGTTGGTGTCACCCGGTGCGCTAACATTTGGTGACACCCCCTCCGACGATCCCCGCGGAATGGATCGGATCTGCGGATTGAGCATAATGGATCGGAGTCCAATCCATTATGCTCCCCAATCCGCAGATCCGATCCATCTTGCGGGAATCATCGGCATGCAACCTATACGGGGTGACACCGGACCCCGCTCCACGAAAAAGGTAAGTTGTAAAGCAAGCCGACGATCCCCGCAGGATGGATCGGATCTGCGGATTGGGGAGCATAATATACAACGGCCGGACGGGAGGTGGTTAATATGTTTTTTAACGCAGTCGTTCTCAACCAGGATTCCATGGAGTCCTAGTGTTCCTCCAGACGTTGCTATTTTGTTTTGCTATGTAAATTAAAAAGCCCCAAATTTTGAAAAAATTTTTTTATAAAATTTGCAATAAATATTATTTCATCAGAGAATCTTGGCAAAATGAATTCCGTTATATTTTTATAAAAACAAAATACCGGGTTACTTGAGCTGTGGCAAACTAACCTCAGATGTGATGGTGCCTCCATAGTTCTAGGTCCAGCATCACTTGGCAGAGCCAGTGGCATGGCTCTAAGGGTGGCATTCTTTCCACCACCACCAATGGAAGGGGCATTTTCCCAATGACCACCAAAGTACCAACCTTAGCTGGGGTTCATATATTAAGTATAGTACTATAATAGTGTATTATAATCTCATTATGCTGAATAAAATGTGGAAAGTATTCATGCAGTCATAAAACCACTAATGGTTGAAATGACGCAAGATGGCTTTCCTGTCATTGCAGATACTGCAAATTCATGGTGGTTTGTGTTTACTAACATCCGTATTTGCATTGTACCGTAACAGAGACACTAGAACCCTCTCACAGGCTCGTCATCTAAAGATGTGAACCCTGGACAACCAGGGCAAGAGCTACAAAATGCTCAGGTGTGAATGGGACCTATGAGCTAAGCAGAAGTAGGGAGATCCGTGCACTGCAGCTTGTCAGGTACAGCTTCCTCCACCGCAAAGAGAACAATTAGCAGCACGGTACTGACATTGACATATGTCACTTCAAACCTCTTGATACTAGTAGGCAGAGGCAGCAGTGCAATAGGGGATTTAACACTGAAGATATACACAGTGGCGTCCCTAGGGGGGTGCAGGGGTTCCGGGGGGTGTGGGCCGCACCAGGTGACACCATCACGGGTTGCAGAAGCAGGATGCCAGCAGAGCTTCTGGGCTATGTGAAGTTCCTGGCCAGTTATTGGGATGATCCCAGATTCCCGACAAAGTGACAGTTGCCCCCCGGTGTAGCGGTAAAATGAGCATCCCGTGAAGATATGTATCCCTGAAGCAACTGCTCATGTGCCGGTTTCAGTCCGAAGAAGCTGATCGCCGATCTGCCACAGTTAACCCCTTACAGGTTGCAAACCACTGAAGCTGATCCAGCGGATCACTATGGGCTGCAAGATCAGTTAACCCTGTATAGGTTCAACCTATACGGGGTTAACTGATCTTGCAACCCATAGTGATCCGCGGGATCAGCTTCAGAGGTTTGCAGCCTGTAAGGGATTAACTGTGGCAGCTCTGTGCTAAAGTCGGAGATCGACTTCTTCGGCCTGAAACCGGCATATGAGCAGTTGCTTCAGGGGATACATGTCTTCACGGGATACTCATTTTACCGCTACACGGGGGGCAGCTGTCACTGTGCCGGGAATCCGGGATCACCCCAATAACTGGCCAGGAACTTCATTTTACCGCTACACCGGCACCATTCCTTCCTCTCTGGAGGGGTGACACCACGTGTTACCGCACCGAGTGACACCAACCCTAGGGATGCCTCTGGATATACAGTACATTGACGAACCTACAGAACAGGAAGCAGATGGAAAGGAGCAAAAAGCACAGATTTACATAATAAATGCAGCAGAAGCAGGGAGATTCTTACACTGCATATTGTCAGGTACAGCTTCCTCTCCAGCAAAGAGATCAATGAGCACCATGGTAGTGGCATCGCCAAATTACTAATCTCAGTAGATTTGAAGTGAGATTTGGCGATGCCACTACCATGCTGCTCATTGTTCTCCTTGCTGGAGATGAAGCTGTACCTGACAATATGCAGTGTAAGAATCTCCCTGCTTGTGCTGCATTTATTATGTAAATTTGTGCTTTTTGCTCCTTTCCATCTGCTTCCTGTTCTGTAGCTTTGTCAATGTACTGTATATCCAGAGGCATCCCTAGGGTTGGTGTCACCCGGTGCGGTAACACGTGGTGTCACCCCTCCAAAGAGGAAGGAGCGGTGCCGGTGTAGCGGTAAAATGAGTATCCCGTGAAGATATGTATCCCCTGAAGCAACTGCGCATGTGCCGGTTTCAGGCCGAAGAAGCCAATCTCTGACTTTAGCACAGAGCTGCCACAGTTAACCCTTTACAGGCTGTAAACCGCTGAAGCTGATCCCACGGATCACTATGGGTTGCAAGATCAGTTAACCCCGTATAGATTGAACCTATACAGGGTTAACTGGTCTTGCAACCCATAGTGATCCGCGGGATCAGCTTTAGTGGTTTGCAACCTGTAAGGGGTTAACTGTGGCAGATCGGCGATCGGCTTCTTTGTCCTGAAACCGGCACATGCGCAGTTGCTTCAGGGGATACATATCTTCACGGGATACTCATTTTACCGCTACACCACCGGCACCATTCCTTCCTCTCTGGAGGGGTGACACCACGTGTTACCGCACTGAGTGACACCAACCCTAGGGATGCCTCTGGATATACAGTACATTGACGAAGCTACAGAACAGGAAGCAAATGGAAAGGAGCAAAAAGCACAGATTTACATAATAAATGCAGCAGAAGCAGGGAGATTCTTACGCTGCATATTGTCAGGTACAGCTTCCTCTCCAGCAAGGAGAACAATGAGCAGAATGGTAGTGGCATCGCCTTCAAATCTACTGAGAATAGTACTCAGAATCAGCAGTGCCTTAGATGATCTAACACTGCAGATAGGCATTCATGAGGCCACAGAACGGGAAGTATTTTATATGGAGGAATTCAGGACAAATGGTAAATCTTTAAGGGACTCCTTAAGCACAATCACCATTTCTAGATCACTGTTATAGCACAGCATCTAGTCATGTTTGGAGTTCAGTTCCACTCTGGATTAGATCGTTCTATATTTGATACATGTCTTTCCCTGCCCTCTTATGCAACCGTTCTTTTTTCAGAGTTAATAATTAGTCTAATAGACAATTAAATAGTTGAGTAGGGAGGAGAAATTTCCCATGATTTATTCTCATTCCCGCACAACAGAAAACAAGGAGCCCGTGCTGCACATTCATTTCTTTACCCTAAGGCCCCGTTCACACCTATGCATTTTTTTTACGGCTTTTTGCTTTTTGAAGAGACGTACTACAATCCATTTGACATGGTTTCCTATGGAACGTGTTGAGCCGCTGCGTTTTTGGAAAGGGTCGGGGACTTTTTATTAACCACTTCCAGTCCGGATACTTTCACCCCCTTCCAGTCCGGACACTTTCACCCCCTTCCAGTCCGGACACTTTCACCCCCCTTCCAGTCCGGACACTTTCACCCCCCCTTCCAGTCCGGATACTTTCACCCCCTTCCAGTCCGGACACTTTCACCCCCTTCCAGTCCGGACACTTTCACCCCCCTTCCAGTACGGATACTTTCACCCCCTTTCCAGTCCGGACACTTTCACCCCCTTCCAGTCCGGACACTTTCACCCCCCTTCCAGTCCGGACACTTTCACCCCCCTTCCAGTCCGGACACTTTCCCCCCCTTCCAGTCCGGACACGTTTTCCCCCCTTCCAGTCCGGACACTTTCACCCCCCTTCCAGTCCGGACACTTTCCCCCCTTCCAGTCCGGACACTTTCCCCCC